TTTTTAACAAAACTATAAACGGAGGGCATTTTTGTTTCTTTCACATAGTTTAAGGACATTTATAATCCTTTTCCCTTTAGAAATTAAAACAGGGGAATCCAAATATATATATAGAGAGAGCTAAGTATTTTTACTGATTTTGTAAGGTAGGGCATGGCGTTGATCCCTTGTTCTTTGAGAACTTCGTATGCAATTTCAGTGGTTGTGTTGAAGAGTGCAAGGTAACATATTTTCATATAATCTGGAAGTTCGTTCATTGCTTTTATCTCCATTCTGAATGTAATCAGAAAACTTTTTAGCAATTCATGTATTGTTTATAAGAGAAAAATCTAATTTGTAAAGGTTAGAATTAAGTTACAGACCTTTCAACAGCATGAGTGAAGAGTTCCAACTCATCAAGAGTGCTGTAAACATCATACATGTCATCTATAACTGTTGCCATAGCAGTGACCTTTGTCAACATTATTCGACAGTATTCGTTCTTTTGAGGTTCAAACATCATGCCAGCTATCCATAAGAAAGCCTCCACAAGTCTATCCCTTGAAAATGGCAATTTTTCTGCAAGCAATGACTTCTTCCACCACCTTAATTTCATGAAAAATAATGTTTCAGATGTAGGAAACTTATTGATTGATGCCTCAGATCTCGATTACTAAGCGTATGGACATGAATTATGGTGATATATATTTCTAATAATCTGATACTCTGTGATTTTCCCTAAGAGTTGCTACCTTTTTTTACTCACCTCGATAGATTTCTTAGATCTTGTTGGTGTGTTGCTTGAACAATGTTGAAATCCAACTTAGCAAACTCGAGCAGGAGAGGATCAACATTTGGGATTTTCTCATAAATTTTAATGTACCACCTTGTCTCTACTCTCAACATCTTGCAATGCAAAGGAAGTTCCAGAGCATGACGCACTAGTTCCACTGTCCCATTCTCTTGATGTTCAGTATCATTTAAATTGTGCAAATAGTTTTTTAGATGGGACACTGTGAATATATTGGCTGACTCCAATAAAGTAGAGGTTTCAGAATCCGTAGACAGAAATGAAGCTTCATATAATTGTAACAACCCTTTTGTATCTTCACAAAGACTTTGTTTGAAGTTACCCTGCTCATCTTTGAAATCATTCAATATATCTACGGGGAAAAAATGAGTAGAAATCTTATTGGTCGGAACATATATATAAAAATGACAAAACGAAGAAATTAGGAAAAAAATAGAGAGCACCTTGAGAGATATGAAAACCATGTTGTCTGAAGAGCCTAAACTTCAATGCTGTAGAGTATAATGAATTATCTCCTGTGGTTGTACTACTATTTTGGTTATGTACACTTCTCAATACTTCCATAATTTCATCCTTAAAGTGGTAACTTACTCCTAGCCTTTGTAAATTATCAATCAACTCCAACTTAGCATCTAATTGATCTTGTATTGATCCCTCAACCATAACCATCAAATTCTTTTTCATTTCCTTCTTTAGTTCGTTACAACGCTTCATATACTTATCTCCCTACACAACACACATTTACAAATTATATTTTGAATGATAGAATAACGCACACGAATAATATGATATAAAGAAAATGTAGGTATGTACCGCGTAAGGATTGTATAGGGTGTGAATAAATTGAAAATCCCAGATGGGAGGCTGGTAATTCCCTGAACGCCTAATGGGATTAGATGAATGATTAAGAAGTCGTGGTTCAGCTTTCATGCCAGTGCCACCGTCACCGTCACCGTCACCGGTGGTTGAAAGGGAGGCTAGTGATGATGATGGGATGAATAAAGAGGAAAATTTAGGTAGAGATTTTCTTGAGATGGCCATAGGTATTAGCCTCCCCAAGTTGGCCATCAATATTGCCACCATTTTGTTGGTTTATTCACTTTAATGTGTGGACAGATTAATTTTTCTGAGCTCCAACAAGTAACTATAAATGGATCATTCCTCCCCAGAGTTGCTTGTCACACTACATCAAAAATGATCTTTAGTGACAATTAATTAACGGTAATAACTGAATTAAATTACCGCTAAAGATGTATTTTTAGTGGCAATTAACACTCTTTGTATATGTCCCTGAAACTTTTAGCGACATTAGATCTAATGGCACATAACTAATGCCAGTAAAACTTTAGCACTCTTTTTTTTTGGTTGTAGAGTCAGCAGCCTATTGGAGGTAGATATGGTAAAATGTTACTAAATGCAGGGCTTAATACATAACTAACCCCTTAAATTTGTCACAATATTTCATTAAGACAATCAAACTAAGTTATTTTAAAAAAAAATCATCCACATAGGCTTTCACATCCATGGTGATGACGGATTTGGCATAGATCCCTACCATGCTAATTATATAGACAAAACTACAATGGAGGGGAACAAGAGCCAATACTTCTATGAGCATTTCAATTGAACATTTCAACAGCTAATTATAAAATATTCTAATTTGACATTTTCAATTCAAATTTTAAATATTTTAGACGTTACTGAATATTGCCACCATTTTATTAATTATGTGCTTCCATGCGTTTGTAAGTACGAGGGATGATTTTGGATATTTAATTTGGCTTATAATGTATCATTTTTTTTAATGTGTAATGGGAGTAGATGATGGTCCATCTAATGCTTAGATAATTCATTCATTAGGGACCATGTCATCATAAAAAACAATGACTAAGTTAGATCTTCAAGTTTGAAACTATAATGGAAATAAAAATCATATTATTGAAGTTTCTTTTGACATAATTCATCTTCAAGATTTGTTCCACAAGAATATAGGTTTGGTTTTCTTAGAAAATGTTAGTGTTAGGCATTTGATTTTTGAGAATTAGAAAACACAAATATAGGGTGTGTTTGGTATGAAGGAAAACATTTTCCGGTTTTCTCATGTTTGGTGGGGTTAAATGTTTTGGAAAATGTTTTACAAATCAACTCATTTTCCTCAAATTTAAGGAAAATGACTTCCCTTCAAAACTTAAGGAAAACATTTTCCAAAACTATTTTCCAATTTCAAATTACAATTATTTTGTCTCTACCCTCTAACCACCCCCACTCCCCCCCCCCC